TATTTTGGGTTCCTTAGGTCAAGGCCCCGACTGTACCCTGACACTTCGATTAAGGAATTGGCCGTTTTCGGTTCGCGAGAGGGCGTCGCGGCCGTCATTTTTGCGGGTCTAGGTCCGTCGGTTTCGGTCCCAGGCCACTTTCACCAAGGGGAGGTTTACTAAAGGGAGGTCTGTCCACCGCCGAGATCGACCGCGTACGCGATCTTACTTCGAACAAGATTTGGAAGACAAAGAGTTTGCGCGCAAGTCAGGGCGGCGATGATGCGCTCACCATTGTAGTGCTATTGGTCTGCTCAGCTAGGGGATGATGCGGGGAAAATGGCCTCACTGAGAGAATCTGTGGCTCTTCCTAAGGAGTCCGTGCCTTGTATCTTCTAAGTGTGTTCTTTCACATGCAGCCGTTTTTTACTTGAGGCGGGTGTGTGTTGACTGGCGCGTTCCAACGTGCGCGTTCGAAGTCAACAGATCGAGGGGCCATTGGGGGAAATGACTCGGCGCACGCCATCGGCTTCCTCTCGGTTACAGATTCTAGGCCTCCCAGATGGGGTCGGAGTACACGGCGTCGCAGCATCGCACCGCCTCGCCGATGCATCGGCGATGCGGGGCGACGTTGAGCCCGACTTTCTCCACCCCGACTGCGTAGAGGCATCGCCGACGTATCGCCGATGCATCGCCGATATATCATCCATGCGGCGCGATCCTCCGACCTCATCTTCTCGGACTTCACTTGGGAGGCCTCCACAGATCTCCGATGATTTCGGGAGGTGCTCCTCGATTTCGGTCGATCCCAGGTCGTTCTTTCACGGTCCCGAGTCCTGGGGCCCGGCAGGAGTATCCCAGAGGCCGAAAATTGCCGAAAACCTCCCGCTTCGATGTTTTCCACCACGCGAAGATGTTTGGGCCAAGAGTTTTTTGGGCGCTCACAAGGGGGTCTGGGCCAAGAACTGTCGGGGTTGCAGCCGCTCCGATGGGGTTAGGGCGTATCGGGGCTGGCGCGATCATTCTTGTAGTGGGGCGGATAGGCATAGGGCCCAGACATTTTCGCGTTGGGAAGACGTCGAGGCGGGAGGTTTTTGTTCGGCCTCCGGGCGGAGGGCTGTTACCGGGCCGGGGTCCCGGGCCCGTCAAGACACGGAACGGGATGAAACACCGGTCCCGGGGAAAAAGTCCAGACCTTTGGGGAGGCAAGTTGCGACAAAATCACGGCATCGGATGCCTGGGGGGGGGGGTACAGTCGGGGCCCTGAAGAAGGAACCCTGTTCGTTGGGGAGGGGCTCCGCGTTCCTTAAAGTGTTTCACAGCTTGCCTCAGGCTTTCCTTATGTATTGGACAGGAAATCGAAGGCTAACTTATTGAAAAAAGGGGCCTCGTTCCTTATTTAGGGTTCCTTAGGTCAACGCCCCCACTGTACGCATTGACCCCAATCGCCCATTCGTCGCCGATCGGGGCCTTGGGCCCCCCATCCGCGCCCAGGCAACCTGCAGTTTCGCCATCGGGGGTCTGTCCGCTGATCTATCGGCGACGTATCGCCGACCCCAGGTCGCTTCGGAGGCTTAGAGGTTAGCACCCACACCGATGTCGGCGGCTGTCTCCCCCGGGGGGAGGTGATCTCGATCTCGGCGATGGCGGTAACACTCGGGCTTCCAGGGTGGCGGAAAGATGGCCACCAGCACGAGCATGTAGGACCATCTTCCTCCGGTGGAGGCGGACCCCTGTGTTGATGTCGGTGCCAATTTCCGAGCCTCCAGACGCTGCGAACAAAAGAACAACGTCGCGAACAGATCACGACCGCAGCCCCAAGCCCCATCTTTCTGCTGTTTCTTTTGAGCTGGATAGGAGGAGGAGGAGGAGGAGGAGGAGGAGGAGGAGGAGGAGGAGGAGGAGGAGGAGGAGCGGAGGAGGGAGAGGAGGGGAGAGGAGGAGGAGGGAGGGAGGAGGAGGAGCTGTGATGCCCCCCCCCCTGTTGTATACCCCCGAGTTCGGCCCCACATTCTTGTTCCATTCGAGAAGCTCACTGAGTCGGCCCAGCAAGGTGGCGGCGGTCCCTCGTGGTACGGGGAGGGCCCGGTGCTTCGCCAGGTAGCCACCGTGCCCTGAAGCAGGGGGGGCCTCCCGGGAGGGGCCCGATGGGGCGCACAGGGACGTGCGAGTGCTGTGCGCTTCTCCTCCTCCTCCTCCTCCTCCTCCTTCTCCCCCTCCTCCTCCTTCTCCTCCTCCTCCATCCTCCTCCTCCGCCTCCTCCTCCTCCCCCTCCCTCCTTCTCCTCCTCCTCTCCTCCCTCCTCCTCCTCCTCCTCCTCCTCCCTCTCCTCCTCCTCCTCCTCTCCTCCTCCTCCCCCGCCTCCTCCTCTTCCTCCTCTCCTCCTCCTCCTCCCCTCCTCCACCTCCTCCTCCTCTCCACCTCCTCCACCTCCTCCTCCTCCTCCTCCTCCTCCGTGAGCCAGCCCGCCCGCCCACCTGCCGCCCCCCCCCCTCGCCGAGGGCTGCGCGGAGCGGGTGCCGGCCTCGTCCTCCACGCGTCCCGCGCCGCACCAGGAGCCGAGGGAGAAACATTTCGGCGTGGGCCCGAAGTGATCGTTTTCTCATTCATTGTTTTGCGGGTCGGCGCGGGCCCTCGCATTCCCCTCCCTCCATGGTGTAGATTTTGGGCTGCTTTGGGCGCCTGTCTCGAGCAGGTGGAGTCTCCCCCAGAGGACGCACTGTTGCAAACAGTCGCGTTGAGCAGAGGTCTGGAGCCAGACCCCCCCCCTCCCTCCCCCCCCCTTTCGCCCAATATCGAAACGCCGAATAGGAAAGCGTTCACAAACGTCGACAGAAATCTCGACTGGGCCGTCTTCGGCCGTTTTCGGCTTCCGGGGGCTCTCACCGTGCCCCTTGGCAGTCCACAACATTTATTCAGGACGAAGCACTTGTCCCCGGGGAAAGGGTTCGGGCTTTGCGGGCCGACGCTGCGAACAAATCACGACGTCGGAGATGATCTCGGGTCCGCGCGGACTTCTCGGAGCGGCGCTGGGCCCCCTCCTGCCGGCGCCTCTGTGTTCAAGCTTCCAGGCTTGTGGACGTCGTCTTCGGCCGTCGGCGGTTTTTTCCGGCCTCGGGATGCTTTCCGGCATCTGTGCGTCGTCGAGAGCGCTCCGGGGGTGCGCGCAGCGTCCCGAACGGCCGCTCGAGAGCCGAGCTGTGACCCGCACGCCAGGGTGCAATGACTCCGGCGCCGTACCGGGTGCGCTCCTCGGGCGTTTCGTAATGGGGGGCCGACAGCTGGGGGGCAGGGCTGGACCTACGTAAACGGTGTCTTGGCCATCTCGCGGGCCGTTTTGTTTCTCGTACCGTCTTGCATCCAAGGCGAAGCGAAGGCAAAATGAGGGAAAACGAAAAACACAACGAACACGAACACACACCGTCTAGGTTCAGCCCCGGCGATAACTGAGGGGGGTGGGTGGGAGCTGCAGGAGGGCCCCCCCAGTGGCCCCCGGAGGCGCTGGAGAGGCTCACTCTTCTGCACTCCTTGTTTTTCAGAAGGGAAACAAACACACAGACACAATAAATCGTCGATTCCCAAGAAAATGTGGGAAAGCGTGTGCAGTGGGGGAGAAGCCGAAAACTCAGAAAGTTTGCGAAAACATGGGGGATCCTGGTATATTTATGTGAGTGTGCTTACTGGTGTGTCCCTGGGCCCCTGCAGTTTTCACCGCCCCCCGTCGAGCGGTGCCCGAGCTCCGCGCCCTGGAGGGCGAGCGGGGACCCGGCGCCGGCCCAAGAACTCCGCGCGGGCGTCCGGCGGTGTCATTTCCAGATTTCGTGATAAAAGGGAGGGGGTCTGGACCCTCCAAGACAAGCCATTTCAGACCTCCCCCGTGGGAGAGCCCTCCGAAGCATCGTCCCCAGACCCCCCAGGCCCTCCAGGATGGCCTGGCAGAGACCCCCCCCGAAACGAGACCCCCCTCCCTTTCTTACGAAATCTGGAGTACTTCCGGGGCCGCCGACGAGCCGATTCGTGGCGATTCGATTCGCCGGCTGGGGCCGCGGTTCCGATTCCGATTCGGCTCGGGTCCGATGGAAGAGGGGGGAAGAAGGAAGAGGATGGCGAGGAGGAGGAGGAGGAGGAGGAGGAGGAGGAGGAGGAGGAGGAGGAGGAGGAGGAGGAGGGCCGCGGTTCCGATTCCGATGCGGCTCGGGTGCGATCCGCCTGCGCCGGCGGGGGCCAGCCGGAGCCAGGCGGCGCGGCGATCCGACCTATCGATCCGATGCGGCGCCGCTTGCCGGCGAGCCGAGCCGTTTCCGATGCGCTCCGATGTCGCGAGTCGATCCAGCTCAGGCCTGGCCTTTCTACGTTGGAGGGGGGAAGGAGGAAGAGGAGGGCGAGGAGGAGGAGGAGGAGGAGGAGGAGGAGGAGGAGGAGGAGGAGGAGGAGGAGGAGGAGGAGAGGAGCAGGAGGAGGAGGAGGAGGAGGAGGAGGAGGAGGAGGAGGAGGAGGAGGACACACCCCCTCTAACGTATGATGGTGGTGGTGGTGGTGGTGGTGGAAACCACGCCCATCATCCCAGGAGAGCACCGCGCCCTCTGCCCTTGGCGCCCTCGCGGGCCGCACGCTGACGCAGCTGGCCGCCGCGGGAGCGGGCCCCGACGACGAGGCCAGCGCGCGCCGCCGCGAGAGCGGGTTCGTGCGCTGCCTGGAGCTGCTGCTGGAGAAGGGGCTGCTCGAGCTGGAGGTCTCGAAGGAGACAGCACGGCGTGAACAGAGGCTTCGGGAGCTCCGCGCGGATTCGTTGGATCGGCGCTGGACCCCCCTTGTCGGCGCCTCCTGCGCCGTCCCCGGCGCGCTCCGCGCGCCGGGGAGGGGAGCCCGGGGCAGATCCAGGACACCCGCGCTGACCTTAGAGAGTTCTTGCGCTTGTGCTGTTCTCCGGGGCAGCGTGAGGGGGGGGGGGGATAGGCTCGGGGGGGGGGGACGCCTCGACCTCCAACGGCCCACTCGTCGCCGATGGGGGTCCGATAGCTTCACCCCCCCGAGGAGCGTGTGGCTTTGCCACCAGGGGGCCTAGCGCCGATCTGCCGGCGCTGCGTCGCAAGTTAGGCTGATGTTCCCCCCTCCCCTTCCTCCTGAGCTGGTCCAGAAGAAGAGGAGGAGGAGGAGGAGGAGGAGGAGGAGGAGGAGGAGGAGAGCAGCAGCAGCAGGAGCAGCAGCAGGAGCAGCAGCAGCAGCAGCAGCAGCAGCAGCAGCAGCAGCAGCAGCAGCAATTCGTTGCTCACGAGCGGTGAACATATCCGTATCCGCGCCCTCGCGGTCTGGAGCCTGCGCGAGCGCGCTCCGCGCGGAGCATCCGCAACCAAAACATGCTCAGCATCGGCGGGGTGGCGGCCCAGGGGCCCGGCCCGCGAGGCCGCGGATGCGGGCACGCCTCTTGCCCACGGGTTGCCCCCAGAGGTCGGGGACAATTGGGGTCTGACCCCGCTGCTGGCGGCGAGCGCCACTGGCTCGACCTCCACCATGGCTTGGCTCCTCGAGCAGCAGGCGGACCTCTACGCCACGGACGGCACCAGGCGCAACGCGCTGCACATCCTCGGCGGCGCGCCGCGGGGGCCAAAGGGGGGAGGGGGCAGGCCTTCCGAGAAGGCGGCAGGGCTTCGGAGGAGGCTCAGAGCGCTTCTCCGAGGGCTGCAGGAGATCTAAAAGCCTTCCGAGAAGGCCGGCCTCCTCCCTCTGTCTTCCCCCCTGGGCGTGCCGCCGAGCGTCGCGATAGCCAAGAAGCAGCGGAAGGCGGTGCGCTTCCTGTGCAACTACGACGCCGACGTGTCCAGGCCAGGGTGCATGCTCGATCCGCTCGATCCGATGCGATGTCGATGCTGGCCAGCCCCGAGGCGATTCGATTCCGATGTTCCGACGATCCGATGCGTCTCGATGCCTGCGTGGCGCTGTCGCGCATCCTGGATCGGCCGATGCGCTTCGATCTCGACCCCGTGCCCGATCCGAGGCCCGCTCAGATCCGATTTCCCGGTGCGACGCCGAGCGATCCTGGCCCAGGCTCAAGCAGATGCAGGACTGGAAGGGCCGAAGACCCGAGGAGCTCTGGAGGACGGGCTGGTGCACCGCGGCCGCCGGCCAAGAGGGCCTGCGGCAGGACTTCTCCACGGTCTGGGAGGCCGCGCGCGAGGGCGACCTGGACCTCGGAGGAGGAAGCAACCTGCGGATGTCGCCGCCCGCCCGGGAGATTTCTCATGGCCACGGCTGGATCCTCCTCGAAGCCCTGGCCAGAGCGCACCCCCCGTGGAGGTCTGGGGGCAGCAGCATCGGTGCCTTTCAGGGTCCCGTTCGATCTCCGATCCATCCGATTCGATATCGATTTTGTGGCCAGGCCGATGCGGTTCGAGTCCGATCTTCAGGCGAAGCGCTGTGGCCCGACGCTTGCAGGGGCGCTTTTGTGCAGCCTGGCGCGGCCGATCCCCTTCGAGTTCGACTCCGCGCCGGTGCGGCCCGATCCGGCGCACGTCCCGATCCGATCCGATTTCCCGAGCCATTGCTGCTGGATCCTCCTCCTCCTCCTCCTACTCCTCCTCCTCCTCCTCCTCCTCCTCCTCTCCTCCTCCTCCTCCTCCTCCGCCTCCTCCTCCTCCTCCTCCTTCCTCCTCCTCCTCCTCCTCCGCCTCCTCCTCCTCCTCCTCCTCCTCCTCCTCCTCCTCCTCCTCCTCCTCCCGAGCCTTCCCAGACATGCGACACCTTGATTTTGTTCGATGCGGCATCCCCAGAAGTCCAGACCCCTTCCCCGGGGCCGGTCTCTCATCCCGAGTCGTTCTTGGACGGCCTTCTGGGGCCCGGCGGGGGTCCCAGAAGGCCGAGCATAGGGCGAACAGCTTGCCGCCCTGAGTTCCTTTTACCCCGCGGCCACGTCGGAGTTGTGGTTTCCCGAGGACCAGCTCCAGCGCGCGCTCCGCACCGATCCCGACGCGGGGCGGCCGAGCCCGGCCGGCTGGACGGCGGCGATGTACGCCGCCGCGTGCGGGAACACGGCCAGCCTCGGAGGCCCGGAGGTTGGGCGCTGATGCCAGCACGTCGGCGGCTGCCTCCCTTGATGGGCATGTGTTCCACCACCACCACCATAAGTTGGAGGGGGAGGGGGTCCTCCTCCTCCTCCTCCTCCTCCTCCTCCTCCTCCTCCTCCTCCTCCTCCCCCTCCTGCTCCTCCTCCTCCTCCGCCTCCTCCGCCTCCTCCTCCTCCTCCTCCTCCTCCTGCTCCTCCTCCTCCTCCTCCGCCTCCTCCGCCTCCTCCTCCAACGTGTGGTGGTGGTGGTGGTGGACGATAGGCCCAGCATCCCCTGTGATCCGGGCGTCGCGATGTCTTCACCGGGCGGTTTCGCCCCGTTCCGGGCGCCAGGTTCCCCACTCACCGATCCGGCTCGAGCAATTGCCGCAGGAATCGGGCCAGACGAAAGGGGGGGATTGGGAAAAGGGGGGGGTACGAAATTTGCTGCATGCAGCTGGTTTCGGCCTCACCGAGGGGCCCATTCCTCGATACATAGCCGCCTCCGGCGGCGGGAGGCGCCGGGAAAATCAGCTACGCGAGCTGATTCTCAAACCTCCCCCTTTGCTATCCCCCCCTTGGACCCGAGCCGAAGGAAGACGGGGTCGCGGGATCCAGTTGTGATTCTTCGCGACGCTGCAATTTTTCCGCAGCGTCGGATCTCAGGCGCTTCCGAGGGAAGAGGATCCCGATCTCGGTGCTGGCGGCAAGATTCGGCTCCATAGGAAGCCGAAGCAGTACCACTGGCGCCAGGATCTCAGATCATCTTCCTCCAGCGGAGGCGACCCCCTGTGTTGGTGCCGGTGCCCATTTCCGAGCCTCCAACATTCGAAGAAGAAATAACGACATAAACATTAACTTTTGGCGCTCCGCGCGGATTTCTTGGATCCGCGCTGGGCCCCCCTGGCGGCGCCTCCGGCGCCACCCCTGGCGCGCTCCGCGCGCCAGGGAGTTTGGGTCCGGCGCGGATCCAAGGAATCCGCGCGGAGCGCCAAAAGTTTCTGTTTGTGGTTATTTGTCTTCTTCTAGCATCCTCCGCCTGCTGCTGTCGCTGCGGTGCCCCCTGGAAGCCCCCGACGAGCTCCCGAGGCTCGGTATCGTTTATCCGATCCCCATCCCCATCCCCATCCCGATCCCCCTCGAGACCCCACCAAATTACTACCCCAGTAGGGGATACCCCCTCGAAACCCGAAGGGAACGACCTATATCCCCATCTAGGGGGGTAAATCGGTCAGTGGGGCCCAGCCCACGCCGCTGGGGATGGGAATCGGTTAAACGATACTCAGAGGCGCGATGTGCGCCCGGCGCGCGGCCGCAGCGCGCTGCACCTTGCCGCAGAGGCTGGCCACGCGGACGCGTGCGAGCTCCTCGTGCGGGCGGGCGCGCCAGTCGCTGCGAAGAGCGCCGACGGGCACACGCCGGTGTGGGCCGCCTGCAGCGGCGGCCAGCCGACGGGGAAGAAAAGCATCGATGCCGCTGACCCTCCTCCTCCTCCTCCTCCTCCTCCTCCTCCTCCTCTTCGTCCTCCTCGTCCTCCTCCTCCTCCTCCTCCTCCTCCATTCCATCTCCTAATGAATAATGATACCGGAGGAAAGCCCCAATCATAATCCTTTTAGGGCTGTAGGGCTATAGGGCTACAGGGCTATATGGGCTCTTGGGCGCTAGATGGGCTATTGGGCTTTATTGCTATATGGGCTATAGGGCTATTGGGCTATATAGGGCTATAGGGCTATGGGGCTATAGGGCTATAGGGCTATAGGGCACCCCCGGGCACCCCCGGGCACCCGGGCACCCGGGCACCCTGGCACCCCCGGGCACCCCTGGGCACCCAGGCACCCGGGCGAGCAGCGAAAATCGGCGGCAAATTTCAGTCAACCATATGAATCCGCTAGGACCCCTACAGAGGCAAGCTCTGATTGGGGAACTTCTCCCTGTCGCACCCCGAGGCCAGTTTTTAGGGCAGGCCGGGCGTTGCGCCTGAGACTTCCTCACCATGTATGACCCTGAAGCTTAAACATTGGCAACAGTTTCGCATATTGAGGACGGGTGGTTTTTAAAATGTGGCTCTCGCATTAGCGCCGCGCACAGTACATTCGTTTTCAAAATTTGCAGGAGTTTCACGGATTGAGGGCGGGTCGTTTTCAAAATGTGGCTCTCGCATTTTTGAACATTTGCAAGAGTTTCACAGATTGAGGGCGGGTGGTTTTGTAAAATGTGATTCTCGCTTTAGCGCCGCGCGCATTCTTTGTGAAATTTTGCAACAGCTTCACTGGTTGAGGGCGGGTGGTGTTCAAAATGTGGCTCTCGCCTTTGCGCCGCGCAAATTTGTATTACGAAATTGCAAGAGTTTCACGGATTGAGGGCGGATGGTTTTCAAAATGTGGTTCTCGCCTCAGCGACGCGCACATTCGTATTAACAATTTGGAAGAGTTCCACGGATTGAGGGCGGTTGGTTTTCAAAATGTGGCTCTCGCCCTAGCGCCGCTCCCATTCGTTTTAAACATTCGCAAGAATTTCACGGATTGAAGGCGGGTGGGTTTCAACATGTGGCTCTCGCCGTAGCGCCGCGCACATTCTGGATACAAAATTGTCAGATTTTCACGGATTCGCATGATTAACGTACCAGAAATTGTGTTTTGGAAGGGTTCGCGATTTTGAGGGCGCAACAGTTAGGATGATTCGCGGAGTTGAGGTTCCAGGAAAGTCGTTCTGGCACGATTCAGGATCGTCAAGACGCAACAGTCAGTTTCATCCGTGGCGTTGGAATCTTGAGGATAATGCTTTGGCATGCTTCAGGGGTCTTCCAACGAGGCAGGTCCCTGTGTGGAAATGCGCCGTTGTAGGGGCCTATGAGGAGGGAGCTTAGGGGGAGGATTTATTCCGACATCGTTGGTGACTCTTGGGTTTACACCGGTCCTCCTCCTCCTCCTCCTCCTCCTCCTCCTCCTCCTCCTCCTCCTCCTCCTCCTCCTCCCCGCCTCGTTTCTGCTGTTTCTTGGGCCTCCTGGGAGGCCCTCGTCGCCACGGCTGGACTCGAAATCCCGTCGCTCCGCGCGCCTGGGAGGGGGGTCCAGCGCGGATCCAAGAAATCCGCGCGGGGCGCCCAACGTTCATGTTTGTGTGCTGCTTTCCTTCTGCTAGATCCCGCGAACACTGCCTCGCTTCCGCCGTTCTGGGCCTCCTGGGAGGCCCTCGTCCCCACGGCTGGACTCGCCTCGAAGTCCGGATCAGAACGCACCCTGGGAACGGTCCGGGGAGGAGCGGCATCGGTATCGGTATTTTTTGGTTTCCCCAGGCCAGCTGTGGGCCCTGCAGTCTCTCGTCGCGCTGCGCGCGGACCCCGTGGGCGAAAAACATGTCCGTATCCGCGGCCTCGCCCCGCGGATACGGGGCGCTCCTTCGCGGGCTTCGCGCGGAACAGATCCGTGCGACCGTGCCCCGGAATTTTCACGCTCTTGCTTGGCGTTTACGAAGCGGCCTTGGGCGTTTGCTGAGCAGCCCCGCCCTGTTCGATTCCTTCTCTGGGTGCGTGTACCGAACGTCTTTGCTTGTCGGGATGCTTATTCTGAGGGTGGTCACCACCTACCAAACCACCTCAACCCAACCCGAAGCCCTCGATTTGCCCTCCATTTCCGGTGGGGGGGGGCCGGGGAACGTTGAAAAAACATATGGAATCCGTACCCCCCCAACCCGAAATTCGGGTCAAATTCGGGTCTTCGGGTTGGGTTGGGGTGGTCTGGTAGGTAGTCAGGTGGTAGTCCTGCTCTCCCGTGTGGATGTGGATGCGCTCGCCGCTCGTGAGGACCCCCTCTGCGCCGCCGGCGGCAACGCGCTGCGGGCGCTCGGCTCCGGCGACACGGAGCGCCACGCGGACTGCATACGGTGGCTCACCGACCTCTACTGCGCCGACGTGCAGGGGGCGTCCAAGGCCGAGCTGCACCAGGCTCGGGCCGGACGAAAGGGGGGGATTGGGAAAGGGGGGTGTTCGAAATCTGCTGCATGCCGCCGGTTTCGGCCCCACCGAGGGGCCCATTCCTCGGTACATGGGCGCCTCCCAGCGCCAGGAGGCGCCGGGAAAATCAGCCACGTGAGCTGATTCTCAAACCCCCCCCCTTTGCTATCCCCCCCTTTCGCCCGACCCGACAGGCCACGGACGATGCCACGAGCTTCCTCGAGCTCCTGGAGCACGGGGACCTCGCGCGGCCCGGCTTCGTCGCGAGGGTCCACAGCCCGACGCACAAGGCCCTGCAGCGCGCGGTGAAGGCGGCGCGGAGACGCTGCGACGCCCTGCTGAAGCCGCTGTGAAGGCATGGGTCTGCTCCAGCCGGGCTCCCGCAGAGCGGCTCGTGGGAGAAAACGAACGCGGCACGCGGACCCCTGACAGGGGAGCTGCGCAGGAGCAGGTTCAGTCGAGGCAAGGACGGTCGGCACCGGTAGCACCGGGCCAGGCCGCCGGATCAAAGGCATCCTCGGAGTCTTCAGCACAGGAGCATGCCCTACAGTGAGCGGCTTGAGTAAGAAACACTTACTTTCTAAAAGGGGCTCGGTCGTTCCTTAAGGCTTGCATGCGTTACGTATCCTTCCTTATGCGTCTTTTATTATTCATCGTTCCTTATGTTTTTCCTTGGAAAACAGGGGCTTCGTTCCTTATTTATGGTTCCTTAGGTCAGGCCGATGACCGTATGCCGTCGAGCCGCACAGTCTTTCTCAGCGTGGGCCCTGGGCAGTGGCTTCTTGCACTCTCGAGGTGCGCCCTGTGCGGTGCGATGTGTCGGGTGCAGTGTGTGCGTGTGCGTGTGGTGCAAACTGGGCGGGGCAATCGATTCTGAAGAACTTGAGGTCTTGAGTCCCAGTGCCCGTCGCCAGCCCCAGTGCTCGTCGTCCAAATCTCCCGCCCACGCACCCGCACCTTGTTGGCAAGCCTCAGCTGGCGCAAGAAGGCGATGCCCCATCTCGTGCAGATGTCCGTGACTCGGGCGGGCGAGTGCTGAGGATGCGGGCATCGCTGACGGCGAGGGCGACGACGACAATGACGATGAGGTTGCTGCTGATGACGACGATGATGATGCTGGTGGTGGTGGTGGTCGTAGTGGTGGTGGTGGTGATGATGATGCTGATGATGATGAGAAGGAGGAGGATGAGGATGAATCTGATGAGAATGATGATGCTGATGACGACGGTGGGGATGGTGATGTCGACCATGGTGATGGTGGTGAGGGTGATTGTGGTGATGAAGCTGTCAACGACGGCGCTGGCGAGGATAACGACGGTGTTGATGCGGATGATGCAGAAGCGTGCGCGCGCAGAAGAAAATCGGAGAGCCAGACAGATTTTGGTAAGAACCTGTCGGCTTCAATCTGTGTGTTTGAACAGTTCTTCTTTGAAACGCTCTCAATCTGTGTGTTTGAACAGTTCCTTTTTGAAACGAGCTGAAACCCAGCAGTGGCTTTGGAGGATCCCGACGTGCGCGCGCGGAGACGTGCACGTGTGGCCCGCGTGGTATTGCGTACTCGCTTCGCTAACTCCGCAGGCTCCTCCATTTTGCACCGCTTTGGGTTGGTAGTGTTCCCAGACGGTTCAGGAGAGCTCCAGCAGCGCTTCGAGACGCTCCAGCAGCGTCTCGAGGGTTGCGGAGGGCTTCCATCGAAGAAGACAAACCGCCACTCCGCGCGGATTTCTTGGATCCGCGCTGGGCCCCCCCTGGCGGCGCCTTCGGCGCCGCCCCTGACGCGCTCCGCGCGCCAGGGAAGAGGGTCCAGCGCAGATCCAAGAAATCCGCGCGGAGCGCCACAAGTTTATGTTTACGGCGTTTCTTGTGTGTGTGTGTGTGTGTGTGTTTTTTCGTCTTCTTCTTCTAATGCGGTGTCACAGGGTTGCGGAGGGCTTCTAGGAGGCCTGACGGAGTGCAGGACTGTCCTAGCATAGCTCAGCGGCCCACGCGGGGACACCGGCGCGAAGGCTTTGGCCAAGAGTGCCCCAGAGAGTGCGTTCAGGTGTCGCTGGCTCATCTCGGGGTCTCTGGGGTCGTCGGATATTCTTCCAGCGTCGGTCGGCACATCGATCTCCTCGTGTCGCTTCCTTTTCCTCTTCCTGTTCGCTCGGTCATGCAGGCCGGGTGCGGCGGTGCAGTTGCCGTCCCGCTCCACCAGTGAATCGGCCATATCGGATACCCGCCCGGACTGCCGATCTTTTGACAACATCGGTCAAGCTTTGGCTTGGGACAGCAAAATCCATCTGGCGTCGGCGGATGTTTTCCAGGGTTGGCAGTTGTTCTGCGGACGCTCTCCCAGAGGTTCCGCAGCGTTCTCCCTTTCCCGTTCCCGCTCCGCTGATCTCCTCTTTCTTCTCTCTCTGCCTCTCTCTCTCTCTCTCTTTCTTACTCTCTCTCTCTCTCTCTCTTTCTCTCTCTCTCTCTCGCTCGAGCTCTCTCCATCTTGATGGGGTCGCTTCTCTGCCCGCATGTCGGTCTCTTCCTCCCCACTCTTTCCTCTGTCCTTCGTGCCATCGTCGTGCACGGAGGCTGACTCGGGACGATCTTGGAGGTCCCTTGGGCCGTCGAAAGGCGGTCTGCGGCTCGAAAAGGCAGTACAGTCGGGGCGCTGAAGAAGGAACCCTTTTCGTTGGGGAGGGGCTCGGCGTTCCTTGATTGTTTCAAAGTTTGCCTCGGGTTTTCCTGAGGTTTTCCCTGGGAAATCGAGGTTGAACTTATGGGAAGAAGGGGCCTCGTTCCTTATCTTGGGTTCCTTAGGTCAAGGCCCCGACGGTACCGCCATAATCATCATACAAACCATGCGAGGGCAATGATTCTTGTGTGTTCGGGGCGTTTCGAAGCCCTCTTGGAACCCTCCTGGGGCGTTTGGGGCGCTTCTGAGGCCGTCTTGGGACCAGCTCCAGCCATCGTGAGGACTTCCTGGGCGCCTGCTGGCGGCCTTGGGGGCGAACTTTCGTGGAAGCTCGATCCGTCGGATCGAGCTCCCCCTCCCAGGGCGCTCTCGGGGACTTCGGGAGCCCCCCGGGGGAGACCCCGCGGGCTGGCCTGGGCTTCGTGGGCCTTCTTAGGGCTGGTCCGGGTTCCCTCGGGCTGACTCGGGGCGAGTTTGATGGCCTCTTGGGCTGCCTAGGGCGGGCGGTCGGCAGCTCGAAGAGGCGGTGCCGCCATGATCGTCAGAAAGCCGTGCAGCATTAACGATGTGTGCGTTTGCGGGGCGCCTCGAGGCCCTCTTGGGACCCTCCTGGGGCGTCTTGGCTCTGGAGGATCCCGACGTGCGCGCGCTGAGGCGCGCACGTGTGGCTCGCATGGTCATGCTCCGCGTGCGGATCATGTATTAAAAAATGCAGGGTTTAGTATTCAAAACAACGATGAGTTGATGCATACATTTATTCATACCTATACGACCACCCTGCGGGTGATAAGGAGGTTGGGGGGGGGGAGGGGCCCAGCAATGGGCAACAGCAATGGGCAATGGGCAACAGTCGCAGACCTGCGCGTCGCGTCGAACTGCAACTGAGTGATAAGGGCATGAGGGAGAGGGGGGGGGAGGGACCAACGTCGCACTCGATCGATCTCACTATCGATCTCACTATCGATATCACAACCGATCTCACCATCGATCTCACATTCGGTCTCCCTTTCGATCTAACCAACGACCGACGACGACGACGACGACGAGGACGCGAAAACAGCGCCGGAGCTCCAGGCAATTTTCACTCGGCAGCCCGGTCCAGCAACGAGCGAGGATCGACGACCGAGGATCGACGAACATGGCCCCCAAGACCCTCGGAAGATGAGGAAGCTAAGATGGGGAGGAGGAGGGAAAAGGAGAGATCCAGAACCGAGGGGTGCGTGGTGGAGGAGAACCTGAGAGAAGACCTCATTCGCTGTCTCATTCGGTCTCACTACCGATCTCACAATCGATATCACTATCCACGTCGTCATCATCATCATCATCGACATCACCATCAACATCGTCATCATCATCATCATCATCATCATCATCATCATCAGCATCATCATCATCGTATTCATCATGATCATCAGCATCATCATCATCATCATCGTCATCATCATCATCATCAATGTCGTCATCATAATCACAAACATCAACACCATGAAGGCCATCATCACCATCAGCATCGCACAATCGATCTCACATATGGTCTCACTACCGATATCACAATCGATCTCGCAATCGACGTCATCATCATCATCATCAACATCAACATCATCATCATCATCATCATCGCCATCATCAACATCATCATCATCATTATCACCATCATCATCATCATCATCATCACCATCATCATCAGAATCATCATCATAATCATCATCAACATCATCATCGGGACACCGACGGGACACGGACGGGACACCGGCGGGACACCTGCGGGACACCGCGCCGCCCCGGCCGCCCGGAAGGGAATCATTTCGTCCGGCCGCCAGCGGGGCACCGGCGGGACACCGCGGGGCCTCGGCCGCCCGGAAGGGAATCATTTGGTCCGGCCGCGCCTCAGCCACAGGAGATTTTCTCTCGCCCGCCCACGCAGCTTCGCCTCGCCCGCACGGCACGCACGAACACGACACCGAAATCGATCTCCCGGTAGGGGGGCTCTCCGTTCCACTTCGATCTCACCCCCCAACCTCCGACATTAATCATGTATGAAACATCCTATATATTTATATGGTAAAAATCATATGTATTAAAAACTGCCCTGTATTTGATCGAGTTGGCGGGTGCGCGGCGATTGCGTGCTGTCCTGGACTTGTGCGCTCGCGTGGCCCCGCATATTGTCGCACTCGGCAGAGATGCCGAATCTAGATCGTCTTCTCGTGATTCCAGCGAGTGTGCGCGCCACTTGTTCGCAGTTGTTTGTTGAATAACAACTCTGCTTGATTGTTCTGGAAAGGCTACGTTTCAGAACGGAGCAGCTGAACATACACATATAGGTTCCGTATAGATTTTTGACACGCATGTGTGGTGACTCGCGCATGTGCCCGGCATCGTGTACGATGCTGTTGCAGGGGGTTGCCAGGAACAGACGTTTCTTAGATCAGCGCATGTGCACCGCATAGTTTTTTTGCTGGAGATGGCGGGGTCAGTCGATACCCGTTTGGCCGAGATTGTACCATTTGCGTTTTCACAAAAAAACGCCTGTGTACAACGAATCCACGCATACAATACGGAACAGGTGTGCGGATAGCCACGACCTCGGCGGGGGGAGCCTATTTTTAGGAAGGAGGAATTCTGCGTCGCAAGCCTTGTCGTGCAATCTGTGGGGTGCAGGCTATGTGTTGCAGTTTTTTTTCGGATCTACGTGGCGCAAGAGCAGTGCAACCCGAAGCGCAAGCCAGCGCAGGGGGGAAGGCGCTGGTCGGGCACGAGTCGGGCACCGGGCGGGAGCCTGGCACGCCCAGCCATCGCATGCAGGGTCGGCGGCGAGCGAGGGGGTGAAATGAGGAAGAGAAGGCCTTCTCAGAAGGCGGCGCGGCTTCTCAGAAGCCTCCGCGCCTTTTGAGAGGTTCTTGTGTGTCTTCGGGGAAGGAAGGCCCAGAAAACTTCGCAGACGGCCGGGGAATTTCCGAGCCTTCTGAGAAGGCCCGCCCCTTCTCACTTCCCCCCCCCGGGGCGCGCCGCCTATAGGTGGCACGGGAGGGTACCTGGCGAAAAGCCCGGAGCAGCCAGCCAACGCACGGAGCGGGCAGGAGGCGGGCCCAGGCGGGCACAGAGCGGATCCTTGGAAGGCCCAAGTACGGTCGGAGCGAGGCACAGGAGATCGAGGCCGGTTCGGGGAAGGTGCCCTGATGTTCTTCGTGCTTGTTGGGTGTGCTCGTGCATCCTGGGGAGCGGTACCCAGAAGGACGGTCGTTCTGTCCTGGCGGAGGGTCTCATGTTCTTGAAGGATGCTCCGCTGTCCTAGGTCGGGCCGTATTCGTTTGACGTACAGGGCGTATTCAGTTCAATTCTGTTTTGGAAGGTGTTGGAACAGAACCGGACCGTCGAACCCGGCACATTAGTACAATTCAGCCTCGGGAGAGCATGATGTCACCAATTTCTGAGTCCTTGTGCAGGCGCTCGATCCCTTCTTCAAGCGTGCGAGCTTCACTCCGCTTGGTGTTCTGTCCACGAGTGCTGCCATGTGAGGTCTCCTAAGCAGTGAGCGAGAAGCGGCGAGTATGCGCAGCAAGAGGTCAGAGGAGGGGGGGGGGGGAACGACGAGGAGCAGCAGGGGAAGGACAGGCAGGCAGGGGGCGGGAGGCGGGAAGGGAGCAGCCGGGTCTCCCTGGAGCTCCGACGCTCCGTCAGGCGGCCTGCGCCGGGCGTGCCCAGGAGTCGGGCAGCGAGATCTCCGCAGTTGTCGGCGGCGAGGGAGGGGGGGGGAAGTGAGAAGGATAATTCGGGGGTGGACAGACCTCCTACCCTGACACGTCGATTAGTGAATTGGCCGTTTTCGGTTTTCGAGAGGGCGTCGCGGCCGTCATTT